GTTTAAGTAAGTTCTTTACTTACCTTAAGTGGCAAATGTGGTTTCCAGCAGCATTCTCGCCTCGAGACAATTGTCAGACCCACTTTATATTCATCTATCAGCAAAGCCTCGATTTTAAAATTCCCTGCCCTGTTTTCCAAATCCCACTATACCATCCAATTAGTGTGAACATCTCCAGCCTCACAACCCTTCAAGGTAATCATGCTTTACCAATTCTGGTCTCTTCTGCACCCTCTACTTGACGCTAAGCTACAGAAGGGATTATTCTGACAAAAACAAAGTCACATTGCTTGTTTGAGGATTCCTGTGAAGGAAGAAATTGAGATGGAAAGGAAGGAAACTTCATGGAAAAAGATTTCCAGTGCTTAGGATAGGGAAAAGTCCCTAATCATGTGTCACATCACTGCTCCACCCACTTCCATGCAATGGTGTTGCTCGACAAAAACTTGTGGTGGTACAGTCTGGGTAATGGCTAGAACTAGTGCAGGCACAATGGATTGAATGGCCTCCTTCCATGCTGTTACAATTCCGAGACTTTAATGGTAGCGATGGAGCGGTGGGCCATACTGATTGAAGTACGATTCCCTGGTGTGCTGTGCAGCAAGATTTTGGCTGGTTATGGCAAGGCCTGCTTCAGTCTGATCCTGCAATATTTACTGCACAGCCCTCATGAGAGATACAGCAAGTAGGAGAGGCGGTGATGACTCAGTTATAGATATCCCTATTCTATATCGCAGCCTGAATTCTAACTATCCATTCTTTTAGAGGTATAAAAACCTCCTCTATTCCTTCCAGAGTGCCCTCAGCCCATCCCGTACTCAGAACCACCTCCGACATGCAACTCACCACTACCCGTCCCCATCTTCAAAACTCTGAGGTCACATGCATTTACAAGCACTAAAATGGGGTCACAGTGAAAAAATTGGAACATTCTTGTTTAGGGTCCAGACAGCTGATGGATTGACAATGGCTGAAATCAGATGAAATGCCATTCAGCATTTACAGATGTATGTAAACAATAAATGAGTTAAATAAAAGCAAAAATAAAAAAAAAAATCTGAGTCTTCGACAGAAATGTACTCAAGCTGCCCTCAGCAATAAAAAAAGTGTCAGTAAAAGTACTGAGAGGAAATTAAGTTATCTTACTGCCATTACTCCAGAAGCTGTGCTCTAGCAGTATATCATACTGAGACAGGAGCATGCCCATTTATATTGAAGAGCTAAGAAACCCACAATAAAATGTTAGATCTTATCCTTTTGAATGTTTGTGGATCTTTAAAGGAGTGGTAAGTTTTAAAATCATAGCAAACAAACCTTTTGACACTGACATTTTAGTTTTACAATCTTACTCCTTCAGGTTTTCATTATTGCTAGAGTTCTTTATATGAAGAAAATCTTTGTGAATTCTCCTTGAACCTCATCTTTCTTGCTATTTTAATGTACTTTGTCAGATATGCTATGACACATCAATAGGAACAGGTAGGACTTGAAACCAGATCTTCTGGTCCAAAGGTAGGGAATGTTGTCACTGCACCATAAGATCTTCAAACCTCTTCTTCCTTGTCCTAGCTTTATTCTTCTTTCTGACACATTGAAATTGAATTCAATGTTTCTGTGATACTTCCAGCTTATTGAATAATTAGGAATCGGAATGGTTAATGAGATGAAAACATGTTTATGCTGTTTGCTGTGGTTGATTCGCTTGCCGAGCTGCATTATTAGTTTGCAGACATTTCATTACCCTGCTGGGTAACACCATCAGTGCAGCCTCCGACGAAGCATTGTTGTATTTTCCCGCTTGCTATTTTAACTCTGGGGTCCGTTGGAGTCGATTACCTCATTTCTGGTTTCTCTTTACAGTGCTGTGTACATAGGGTCTAATTCTATATGTTTATTGATGGCCTTCTTGGTGGAGAACCAGGTCTCTAGAAATTCCCATGCTTGTCTCTGTTTGGCTTGTCCTAGGATCCTGACATTGTCCCAATCAAACTGGCGGATCTCCTTGTCTCTATGTATGGAGACGAGTGAGCATTGGCTGTGCCTTTTTGTTGTTAGTTGGTGTCCATGAACCCTTGTGGCCAGTTTTCTTCCTGTCTGTCCAATGTAATGTTTGTTGCAGTCCTTGCATTGAATCCCGTATATTACGTTGGTTCTGTCCATAGTGGGTAAAGGGGTCTTTGGTTCTTGTTAGCAGTTGCCGCAGGGTTGATGTAGATTTGTGTGTCACTCTGATGCCCAGTGGCTGTAGGAGTCTTGTAGTCAGAAACGTTCTTGATGTATGGTAATGTGACAAATGTGTCGGTGAGTACTGTATCTTTTCGTTATTGTTTGTGTGACAGACATCGTCGGACCCAGCTGTTTGGGTATCCATTGTCTCTAAATACTTGGTGGAGGTATTCTTCTTCATTTTGGTGTAGTTAGAACATAGAACATAGAACAGTACAGGCCCTTCGGCCCACGATGTTGTGCCGAACTTTTACCCTAATCCTAAGATCTATCTAACCTCCACCCTTACCTTATACTATCATCCATATGCCTATCTAATAGCCACTTAAATGCCCCTAATGAGGCCGACTCCACTACCCTCTCCGGCAATGCATTCCACACGCCGACCACTCTCTGAGTAAAGAACCCACCTCTGACGTCTCCCCTATATCTATCTCCATTCACTTTAAAACTATGCCCCCTTGTAATAGATACCTCCACCCTAGGAAAAAAGTCTCCGGCTGTCTACTCTATCTATACCTCTGATCATTTTATACACCTCTATCAAGTCACCTCTCATCCTTCGCCGTTCTAAAGAGAAAAGCCCTAGCTCTCTCAACCTTTCCTCCTAAGATTTTCCCTCCATTCCAAGCAACATCCTGGTAAATCTCCTCTGCACTTTTTCCAACGTTTCAAAATCTTTCCTGTAATGAGGCGACCAGAACTGGACACAATACTCCAGATGTGGCCGAATCAGGCTTTTGTATAGCTGGAGCATAACTTCATGGCTTTTGAACTCAGTCCCTCTATTAATGAAAGCTAACACACCATATACCTTCTTAACAACTCTATCCACCTGGGTGGCAGCTTTCAGGGAACTGTGGACATGAACCCCGAGATCCCTCTGCTTCACCACACTGCCAAGAATCTTTCCGTTAACCCTGTATTCTGCTTTTGAGTTTTTCCTTCCAAAATGAATCACCTCACACTTTTCAAGGTTAAACTCCATCTGCCACTTCTCAGCCCAGCTCTGCATCCTATCAATGTCCCTTTGTAACCTAGAACAGCCCTCCGCACTGTCCACAACGCGACCCACCTTTGTATCGTCCACGAACTTACTAATCCACCCTTCCACTCCTTCATCCAAATCATTTACAAAAATCACATATAGAAGAGGACCCAGAACAGATCCTTGTGGTACACGACTCGTAACTGAGCACCACATTGAATATTTTCCATCCACTACCACCCTTTGTCTTCTAAGGATCAGCCAATTCTGAATCCAATCTGCCACACTTCCCCCATCCCATGCCTCCATACCTTCTGCATGAGCCTACCATGGGGAACCTTATCAAACATCTTACTTAAATCCATGTATACCACATCCACTGCTCTACCTTCATCCACTTGTTTGGTCACCTCTTCAAAGAATTATAGTTCTGGGTTGTTGTGACTCATTTGAACAGTGTTTTCACGTAACTCCATTTGTGGGTGTTGGGTTATTGTTGAAATTTAGGCCTTGATCGGTGTGTGTGGCCTTTCTGTATACTTTGGTCAGAAATTCCCAGTTGGCCCTGTGTTCTACCATCACGTCCAGGAACGGAAGCTGTTTGTTCTTTCCTTCTTCTCTGGTGAATTTGATGCCATTGAAAATAGCTTACCCACTATGGACAGAACCAACGTAATATACAAGATTGCATGCAAGGACTGTGACAAACATTACATTGGACAGAGAGGAAGAAAACTGGCTACAAGAATACATGAACACCAACTAGCAACAAAAAGACATGACCAATACTCACTGGCCTCCATACACATAGACAAGGAGATTCAATAAAAACTAAAAGAAATGCGGATGCTGTAAATGAGGAACAAAAACCAAGTTGCTGGAAAAGCTCAGCCAGTCTGGCAGCATCTGTGAAGGAAAAAACAGAGTTAACGTTTCGGGTCACCAGATTGGGACAATGTCAAGATCCTAGGACAAGCATGGGAATTTCTACAGGCCTGGTTCTCCACCAAGGCGGCCTTTGGGGCGGCACGGTGGCTCAGTGGTTAGCACTGCTGCCTCACAGCGCCAGGGACCCGGGTTCGATTCCAGCCTCAGGCGACTGTCTGTGTGGAGTTTGCAAATTCTCTCCGTGTTTCCTCCGGGTGGTCCGGTTTCCTCCCACAGTCCAAAGATGTGCAGGTTAGGTGGATTGGCCATGCTAAATTGCCCGTAGTGTTTTGGGATGTGTAGATTAGGTGGGTTATAGGGGGATAGGTCTGGGTGGGATGCTCTGAGGTTCGGTGTGGACTTGTTGGGATTCTATGATTCTATGATCAATAAACACATTTAACTAGACCATACATACACACCACTACAAAGAAAAATTGGAAATGAGATAATCAACTCCAATGGACTCCAGAGTTCAAATAGCAAGCGGGAAAATACAGCAATGCTTCATCGGAGGCTGCACTGATGATGTTACTCAGCAGGGTAATGAAACGCCTGCAAACTAATGATCAAGCTCAGCGAGTAAACCAACCACAGCATCCACAACTGGAGCTACAAATCTACTCAAGAACATTATGCTGTTTGCCTAGGCTCCTGGTACCCTGTTGCCCACAATGGCAAAAATCAGAGTTTATTCTGCCAATTCCACTGCAATAACAAAGAGAACATTTGCAGGCAAATGCAAGGGTGAAAAACAGAAGGTAGCATCCATTCACTACTGGCTTCAAGGTGAAGGGCTTAATGTAAAACTATACAAAGCTGGATGCAAAGTAAAAAAATAATAATTCATTGTGCTTACTGTGTGGGTCTGACCAACAGTTTTCTTCCCATTCTGACAGGAGGAGCTTGCAAAGCTTTGCTTCTTGATATTGAGTGAGTCAACGAAAAGCTCTGTACTAGATCGAACCCTGAAAGTTAGAGGATAAGCGTTTGCAGGTCAGTATAGAGTAGATTCAATAACACTGCTGGCACAGTGCAGACAGATCAGTATAAAGTCTAGATACAGTAACACTGCTGACAATGTGTGCAGATCAGTCTACAGGTCACCGGACCCGAAACGTTAACTCTGTTTTTCCTTCATAGATGCTGCCAGACCTGCTGGGCTTTTCCGGCAACTTTGTTTTTGTTCCGCAATTTGATACAAAATTGGCTTGACGGTAAGAGACATAGGGTGGTGGTAGACGGTTGTTGTTCAGGCTGGAGGCCTGTGACTAGCGGTGTGCCACAAGCAGCGATGCTGGGTCCACTGTTGTTTATTATTTATATAAACGATTTGGATGAGAAAATAGGAATGATGGTTAGTAAGATTATGGGTAACACCAAAATTGCTGGTTATAGTGGACAGTGAAGAAGGTTATCCAAGAGTACAATGGGATCTTGATCAACTTGGCCAGTTGGTCAAGGATTTCAATTTACATAAATGCGAGGTGCTGTATTTTGTTAAGACAAACTAGGGCAAGACTTACAATTAATATTATTTAATGGTAAGGCTATGCAGGTAGATAGATACTTGAAAATGGCATCACAGGTAGACAGAGTGGTGAAGAAGGCATTTGGCATGCTTGCCTTCATCGGTCAGAGCACTGAGTACAGAAGTTGGGACCTCACATTACAGCTGTGCAAGAGGTTAGTAATGCCACTTTTGGAGTACTGCATACAATTCTGGTCGCCCTGCGAAAGGAAGGATGTTATTCAACTGGAAAGGGCATAAAAAAGATTTACAAGAATGTTACCAAGACTGGAAGCATTGAGTTATAAGGAGACTAGACAGGCTGGGACTGTTTGCCCCCGGAACTTTGGATGCTGAGGGGTGACTTTATAGAGGTTATAAAGGGGCATAGGTAAGGTGAATAGCCAAGATCTTTCCCCCAGGGTAGGGGAGTCCAAAACTAAAGGGCATAGGTTTAAGATGTGAGGGAAAATATTTGAAAGGGACCTGAGGGGCAACTCTTTCAGACAGAAGGTGGTGCACATATGGAACGAGTTACCAGAGGGAATGGTAGAGGTAGGTACAATTACAACATTTAAAAGACATTTGGACAGGTACTTAAATAGGGAAGTTTTAGAGGGAAATGGACCAAACGCAGGCAAGTAGGACTAGTTCATTTTAGGAAACCTGGTGGGCATGGACGAGTTAGGCTAACAGTCTGTTCCCGTGCTCTATGACTATGAATCTATGGCTCCACTGACATAGTGTGTACAGATCAGTATACAGAGGAAATTAGGTAACACTGCTGACACAGTGACTTCAAATCAGTACATAGAGTAGATAGGGTAACAATACTGTACATTAATCTATACATATTTTGTCAAAGTAGTAATAGTAATATTGTTGACAAAGTGACGAAGATCAATAAACGAAGTAAATATGACAATATTGCAGACACAGCACAGACAAATCAGCATACAGTAGATACAGTAACACAGTGTGTGCAGATCGTATACAGAGTAGATAAAGTAACATTGCTCATTGTGTACGGAAATGAGTATATAGAGTAGATACAGCAACACTGCTGACAGTGTTTGCAGATTTGGAGTGGTGTGGTGTCACAGTGTTAAGCACTACTGCCTCACTGCACCAGGGACCCAGGTTTGATTTCCCCCTGTCTGCATGGGCTTTCCTCCCACAATCCAAAGATGTGCAGGCTAGATGGATTGGCCATGCTAAATTGCCTGTAGTGTTCAGGGATGTGTGGATTTGGTGGTTTATAGGGGGATGTGTCTGGGTGGGATGCTTTGAGGGGTGGTGTGGAATTGTTGGGCCGAAGGGCCTGTTTTCCACACTGTAGGGATTCTATGATCTATGATATGATTAAGGGGAGTTTCAGTGATGATCCTAACATAAGGAATGGCAAAACAGCAACCAGCAGACAGTTAACTGTATTTTACAATTGCAATTTAAATGGCCTATGATGACTTCCATGCAGCTTTCTTTGGAGTCAAAGTGTATATAAACTTACACTTAATTAAGAAAGTAACTGAAATAAATTAAGTTCAAAGTTTGGGCCCGTTTATTCATATGGAACTATTCTGTGACTGACAAAGAGAGACAAAGTACTTTGGAATGAATCTATCTTAACCCACTGAATGGGAATATCCATAGGATTGGATGGAACACTTGTTTAACTTGGCACCCAATATTAACCATATCAACTTCATCGGAGGAGTTAAGTTAAGCAGGATGTAAAGGTAAAGGTGCTCTCCATTTCATTAGTTTCCTGTTCAGTCAGTTTTGTTAAAAATGGCTCCTATCTGCGTGTGACCTTGTTATGTATTGAGCAGCTGGGCATTCAATAAGCAATTCAAAATTTGGAACAAACAGTTCTGGATCATGTTTCCTATTGGCCATAATCTACAGTGAGAAAGCAGACCTGAGACGAAATGAGGGGAGCATAGAGATAGAACTGGGGACTATCCACCTGTGATCTTCTCTGCTAGTTAAGCATGTTGTTAAAAGTCAGCACATCTAGTGTCCAATAGTGATCTATCCTTGGCTTCTATCTATCATTGACAGACAGTGACATCATAAGGTCATAACATATAGGAAGAGAAGTAAGCTATTCAGCTAACATGTCCTCTCAACTATCCGAATTAGATCATGGCTGATTGGATCATCATCAACTCCAGTTTCCTGCCTTTTCCCTTTAAGAATTAAGAATTAGAAGCAGGAGTAGGCAATTCAACCCCTGAGCCTACTCTGCCACTTGGTACAATCATCGCTGATCTCATCACGGCCTCAACTCCACTTTCTTGCCAACTCTCCATAACCTTTAAAATGGTGCCAATTAAAAATATGTCCATCTCCCCCTTAAAATTATTCACTGTCCCAGCATCTACCATAATTTGGGGTAGTGAATTCCACAGATTCATGACCCTTTGAGAGAAATAATTCCTCCGTATTTCTGTTTTAAATCTACTACCTCTTATCCAAAAACTACAACATGTGCTAGATTGTCCTATATGAGGACACATCCTTTCAACATCTACTTTGTCAATCCCCTTTAGCATTTTATATACCTTAATTAAATCTCCTCTCATTCATCTAAACTCCAGAGAGTACAAGTTTAAACTGCTCAATCCCTCTTCATAAGACATGCGAAGACATGACCTCAAGTTCCACATGTACACTGACAGCACCCAGCTCTACCTGACTAGTGCTTCTCTCATCATCAACATTTACAAGTATTAATATTCCCAAACTTATCTTGGTGCAATTACATTTTCAACAGGACATGACTGCTGTTGTATGGCTTTGCTGGCTCACTATGCTGTTCTAAAGTTCTTGAGAAGGCTGCTGCCAGCATCCTCTTCAAGCGTAGGAAACTATACAGCCTGCTTGGCCGAGTGTTGAGAGAGGAAAAACACTTTCTGGTCAAATTAAAAGTGCTCTTGCATTGAAGAGAAGTAGCTTATTGCCTGCTATCAACCAATTACAGCTTACACTGATATGATTGACATTGTTATGAAGATTATGAGGAGGACCGAATTTTGGGTCACATTTCTTTGAGATACTGTTCTTCCCACAAGTCCATATGACACAATTCTCACGGACAGTAGTAAGGTCGTTCCTCAGTATTAACCTTTTCAGACTCATACAACAGTAGTGACTCAGGGTCTTATATTTTTCCAAATCGCCTCTGAAACAATTGTAGACTGAATACTTCTCTTCGATACAGATTCTAACTCAAACTTTTAATAACGGATTTCCACTTTCCCATGCTGCATTACTAAATTCAAGTCACTGAATACTTTTCTTTCAGAGTACATTGACAGAATTGTCAAGAGCAAAACTCCAATGTAAATAACTTTCAACTGTGATACAAATAACATACAGAAAGACTATTGTAAGTGCTGTTTTTGTGAAGAGTCTGATTTAATTGCTTACTTACTGATAATGAAATATAGTTTACTGTGAGATGTCGTTTATTATTGTTGAAACACAAGATATACAGTGTAGTTCTAGGACACTTATCTTTCCATCTATATACTGAATAACCTTACAGTTCTTAAATTACGATATTCTCACGCTGGTTTAAAATCTGCTTTGGTAGTGCAAGTTGCTAAAGAAGTTTATACTACCCCAATTACAGCTGGCCGAACTAAGGTTGAGGCTGCTCTTTTCGCTCCCAAGATTTCTGCTTCTTGTGCCGATGTTGTCTCCAGAGTGTCAGCCCTCTGATTGGAGCGGCCCCTTTAAAATACAGTTCTCTGGGCCATCCCCAAGTACATGGCTTACTATCACTTACTACGTCAGCATGGTAACCAACATGCTGATTCCTCCTATGTAGTTACAGCAGTTTAATACAGCAATGTAATTAACATTATCCCAGAAAAAGATGTTACGATAGACAGTATTGGATATTTTAATTTCCCTATTAATTGAGCTGGGCTGTCTCAGAAACAGCTCTACCAGAACTTTGATCTATTGTTCCATCTGAAACTTCGCAGCACTGTCTCAACAACAGTTATTCAATATAGTCAATCAAGGTAAATGGTTTGAATATGTGTCCCGATCCAAGTTGACATGAATTCTGCAAGCTTTCTGGCTCATGATCTCTGTTCCCTTCCTAGCATTTTGCTCAGTTGGCCAATGCTGCTTTTAGTGTCCCAAAACAGCTGTTACTTATTTAAAAAGGGACATTCCACTACCTACATTTCCCTCCTTTTAGAGCAATGACTTCATGAATTTGGTTCAAAATTTCATTAGCTGTTGGCATGAGGTGAGAGGCCTTCAGGTTTAAATGTTTTGATAACTTCTTAAACAGTCAAAATGTTAAAACCCACTATAGTAAAAAACAGTTATCAAAAAAATCTTATATATAGAGAACTTATAAAAGGTGTGTTACATAAGTAAAACAGTTACATCGAAAAGAGCAAATCCACACGACTAGTAGCAAAATGCATGCTTTGCATTATCACCGCAGTACAAGTCACCAGTTGCAATAACCAACATCTCTTGGAGTTCCTTTGTGATACTTACCTATACGGCTCATTTATTTTGTGTCATGATGATGCCTATTGGTCTGGAGAGCTCCCCTTTCCACTGGGCAAACTTGACCGATAGAACGGTGAAGTATACCAGAGTCACTATGATGTTGACAATTGCCAAGTATGAAAGGAGATGGATCCATGGGTGTATCTGGATATTCATGCTCCAGTCCCAGAAATCTTCCCATCAGGTAGTGACCTTAACTTTAGCTATCTCACCCTTCAATTCTTTCATCTGTTGTACTATTCAAGTAAAGATTTTATGGGTGCCAGTCAAATTGTAATCAGACCTGATCCAACCTCTCTGGCAGGAGTTTATTTCCTGTGACATATTTTTCAATGTAATTCCCAAGAGTATCCTTTAATTCATCACTTGCGTCAATGACAGTCACTTCCCTTCTGTGAATGTCTATCAGCTCGATGAGACCTATTCTTGTGGGGATGTGAGGACTGATACAGAAGGTCGTGTCAGGGACGTTACACAGCACTGTCCCAAACTGGCACTCCTCAAGAGACACAGTATTTATCCTCACTGCGTAGACAACTCTAGTAATGTTGGTTGACAGGCTCCGAACCTCGAAGGTACAGGCTCAATGAATGCTTATCCTTGGGGATGATCCTGTGAACTATATATAAAGAACTGTAGGGTTACTCCAGAAATAGAGGGAAAGACAGGTTTCATAGAACTATATGTGCATATCTGTGTTTCAACAATAATCACGCACATCTCATGGTAAGTTACATCTTACTATCAGTTAGTGAGCAAGGAAATAAGACATGCACAAAAATGACACTTACGCTCTCCATTGTTTTTAATTGTAATTGCTTTGCTAGAAATGGTAACAATTCAACAGGAATTACCTGAAGTTTCAACATGCTGTTGTTGCCATTGTTTGAACTGCAGACCCTCCAACTGAATGGTTGGACATAAGCCATCTGTGAGCACAGGGGAGAGGAAAGTCTTTGTTAGATATCATGCTGTTAACAAAATGTCCCTCGGAACTCAAGTGAGGCAAAATTATGATCATTGTAAATACACATGTTGTAAATAAACCAAAAGCAAGCAAATCGTTAAAAAAAGACAGACATTCATTTTTATTTAAATCAAAGGAGTTAAGAGATATGGAGAAATGCAGCGAATGAAGACAGAGATAAGCAATGATTAATGGAATAGGATAGCAGGTCTGAGGGGATGAATGGCCCACTCTGTTATTGAATGAACCATAAGCAGGTGGCTCAAGCTCCAATTGTTTCAAGTTCCACAGAGCAGAAGCTAATCACTTTGGGTACTGGCCGATCATTTTAGCTAAGCAATTTCTTCACCTGATGCTTGGTAAAATACCGTGAAGTACTCTTTGTTCCTCACTAAAATGAGAATGGAATCTCAGCAGCTAGAGGCACATCCTATGTACCCCAAGAGCCACAGGGAACTCAACTTCCTGAGATGGTGATATAGGCTCAGCAGTATGTTCACTAACAAAAACGTCTAGATGGTGCCATTGTGATGCACAAGTAGAAATTCAGGGAAAGAAAGGAAAATTACAAATAATTGAATTAGACCTATCAAGTCTGTCTTTTTAGTGGTCCCACTCATCTTCTAACAGCTCCCCTTACTCCTGAGCACTTCTTGAACTTGCCCGATTCAAGAGGGATTGTGACAGCATCGTGGTATTGTCACTGGACTAGTAGCCAAGCAACCCTGGTAACTTGGGTTTGAATAGCAGAGGGTGAGGGTACAATTCCAAAATAAAAATCTGGAATTAGAAGTCTAATGATGACCACAATATTACTGTCAGTTGTTATAATAACCTATGTTGCTCACTGGTGTCATTAGGGAAATAAACTGCCACCTTACCTGATCTGGTATATGTGATTCTAGACCCATGGCAATGTGTTTGATTCTGAACTGTCCCATGAAATGGCCCTAGCAAGCCAGAGTTTCGTCAACTGGTTAAAAACCCCTCAAAAGAATGGAACTTGACAGGCTGCCAGGCAATGTGACTATGGCAGACCTAATCCTGTCAATATTGGGTGCACCTGCACCAAACGGACTGCAAGAAGGTGACTCTCCACCAACTTCCCAAGGGCAAATAGGGAAAGTCAATAAATGCTAGCCCAGCCAGCATTGCTTATATCTGATGAATGAGCAAAAGGATTTTAAAAAATCTCTGGTAATGCAATCTACTGTTCTTTATCTTTTGGTGGAAAGGTTTCGTCTGCCTACCTCATTTGCAACATTGTAATTTGTGCCCCCAGTGTGTGAATCTTTCTGAACCATGGCCAACAGTTTGAGAGATGTTTTTTCCATCACTTACGCACAAACATTTTACAATCTTTGTTTGCTTTCAAATACAATTGTGCACACATATTCTAACTTGCAAATGGTCCCAAGAGAAACATGTTCTGAAAGCACTTAATTGCGACAGTACTTTAGAAACCAATCTCTGCATTAAATGCATTGCTAAGTATATTGAATTAATCCCCTGATTAAATATAAATATGGATTCCTAGCAACATGACAGTTGAATTTTGCTACTGATGAGGAAGGTTTAAAAGGCTATGAAATAATTACACTGTATTGACGTACTGTAGACAAGTAAAACAAAACAAGTTGTGATTATCATTCCAGCTTAGTCTAAAAATAACCTTTCATACCCACTTACTGTCAAGCAACTAGAACATTCAAAACATCTATGAAGTGATTGAAACACATGGCAAAAATTTAGCCAGGTTTGAAGTCAGGTTAACAAGAAAATCGAATGTCACTCAAGTACAAATTAAATTTCAACTGATCACTGTTCGTATCACAGTGAATGCATCATCCTGTTGTGCAAAGAGTGAACAGGATACGCCTAGAAGTTGAAATTGGCATAATAGAGATTCACTCAACAATCTGTTAGTGTACATCAAAAAATGGACATCACTAAAATACTATTACTTATCTTATACAGAAGGCTAAACTTTCTGTCTATTCTTCTAAAAAGTGGAGTAGAATCTTAGAATAAAAACAAAGTGCTGAAAATACGCAGCAGGTCTGGCAATATCTGTGGGGTGAGAAACAGAATTAATGTTTTGACTCTGATGTGACTCTTCTTTGGAAAGTCTGAAGTTATGCCAAAGAAGAGCCATATTGGACTCGAAAATCTATAGGTGTAGATCTACAGACCCGATGAGTTTCTCCAGTACGTGCTATTTATTTTCTATTTCAGATCTCCTTTTAACAGAATCTTAGAAGATGGCACGTAGGCGTTAGATGACTGCTACTGTTGATTTACTGCAACCAAAAAACAAGCAGACAGACTGATGTGGTACTTTAGTAACAATCACAAAAGCATGTAGAATTCTATGAACCTTTGGACAATGAAACAGATTCTTCAAAAAGGTGAGAACATTCAAAGCTTCTGTGAGAACAGGAGACTTGGAAGGCACCATGAGGAATTCCACAAAAGTGACTTTGTCTTTGGGAACGATGAGTACTATAGCGCGCATTGTACATTTTACACACGCGCACACACATATACAATCCACTTGTACAAGCAACCTGCAATTATAGGACCTTTTGCCTTCCCATCGGAAAGACAGATCTTCAAGCAAGGTGGGCCTGAAGCTATGACAGACTGATCTTACTTTAATCTTTTCAGCATCTTTTATCCATATCGATTTTTAATCTTTTTAATCCTCATTTCTGTCTTTTGTAGCAAATAAGTTTATCTCTGTTTTTGTCTTGAACAACTAAAAGCAACAAGTATGCAAAAAGCCAACCTTTATCTTGTTTAAAACTGAAGGTTTTCATTATTTTTAAATGGGAATACTTGATAAACTAGAAGGGGCTAAATGAGCTATATGAACTCACAGTTCATGGGCAACTCAGCAGACATGCCTGATGTGGTTGGGACAGAAAGAAGACCCTGCTTACCAAAGCAAGATATAATCTTGCCAATGTACTTTACAAACAAGTTTAAAGAATAAGAAGAGTCTGCCTATCTGTATGCCCATTCGTGTGAAATTTGCAAATGTAGCACATAAGTCCCAATGCATGTTTTCCACAATACAGAAAAGTTTGAAAAAGGACTTGAATTTATTTAGCGAATTTCACCTCCTCAGAATAGCCAAAGAATTTTGCAGCCAATGAAGTACTTTTTTAAATGCATCACATTGCATAATAGTCATTGTAGCAGCCAATTTGCACATAGCAATGTCCTGCAAACAACAATGTCACAATTGCTAGCTTTAGTACTGTCGGTTAAGGAATTAATATTAGCTAGGACATGGGAGAATAGTCCCCCTTGTTTACTTCAATATAGTGCCATGGGATCTTTTAGCTCCAGCTGAGAGGAAAGGCATCTGATCCAAAAGATAGTTCCTTCAGTAGCACCTTCTAGGTGGGTTTGGAAGGCATAATAAACATACAATAGCTAGCGATTGTGACCATGTCCCTACTCCAGGTCATTCCTTTGACCAACCATGTACTGTCTATCCTAACAAGGATCTAAGTATACTAATAAAAAAGGAATTTTAACCTCATTACATCCTCACAGAAACAGGTGAAGGTTAAAATGGAAAGAGGGTGCTTGCACTGAATTCCTGTTCTCTGGTGACCATTTGAGCTTGCTGGACTCTAGGCATGGGAAGGCTGCCTGCGCAGAGAAGTGGGAACCCACCTTCAATGATGTGTGAGTGCTTATGTGCCATCATCTGGGACACCAACGTCATTTTAACTGCAGCTTCCATTTAAGGTTCAGATGGTGTCGGCCCTATCAGAAGCCCCGAGGCAAGGAGGACCAGGAATGTCTGGGGTTGTTAAAAGCCAGAGACAGGACATGAACAAGTCCACATGCTGGTCTTCATTTTAAAAAAGCTTTCCAAATTTGAGTGAAACTTTAACTTGTCTGTGGTTATCTGCAGATGATGACCGAGTTGCTGTGTGTTTCCAACACTTTCAGATTTTATTCACAATAATTTCACCTCACCTCCTACACTCCTGCCCTAACTATATTCAGTAAAGTAATATAACGAACCTTTCACTTCACAAAATCTATCTTCCATGTTTTTCAAACACGTCCAACTGGAGAATCTGCAAAAAGAATTGGTTGTTTTCATCCCACAAGCTATGCTGAATCTATTTTCACTTGGGAATATTAAGATATAACAACAACATGAACATTTATTTATACAGTAACTATAACAAAGTAAAATATCCCTCGCAGGACCATCACCAGCAAAATTTGGCACTAGGCCACATAACTTAATAACATAAGAACTAAGAGCAGGGGTAGAAAATTCAGCCCCTCAAGCCTGCTCTGCCATTCAAAACGATCAAAGCTGATCTCATCTCGACTTCAACTTTCCTGCCCACTCTGCATAATATCTCAACCTGTTACGAACTTAAAAATCTGTCTACCTCCTCCTTCAAGTTAGTCAATGTCCCAACATCCATCACAATATCATAGAATCCCTACAGTGTGGAAGCAGGCCCCTTGGCCCAACAAGTCCACACCAACTCTCAGAACATCTCACCCAGATCCATCCCCCTAATCTACACCTCCCTGAACACTATGGGCAATTTAGAATGGTCTATCCACTTAGCCTGCACATCTTTGGACTGCGGGAGGAACCGGAGTGCCCAGAGGAAACCCACATAGACACGGGGAGAATGTGTAAACTCCACATAGACAGTTGCTGAAGGGTGGAATCGAACCCAGGTTCCTGGCACAGTGAGGCAAAGTGCTAACCACTGAGCCACCGTGCCGCCCTTGGGCAGTGAATTCCATAGACTCAAGACCCTATAAGAGACGTAATTCCTCCTCCTCTGTTTAAATACAGGGTTAACGGAAAGATTCTTGGCAGTGTGGAGGAGCAGAGGGATCTCGGGGTTCATGTCCACAGTTCCCTGAAAGCTGCTACCCAGGTGGATACAGTTGTTAAGAAGGCATATG